TAATAATAATTAAAGCGATTTGAAATTATAGCGATTTCGATTATGGAAAAAAAAAACAAGAAGAAAACTGGAAAACAAATCCAATTTTCCGTTAGCAAAAAATAAAAATTAAAAATAAATATTTTTTACATCATCTGGCTAATGACACTTTAAAATACAAAAAAATAATTCTATTTCTACGACTTTTATATATGTTAAAATGTTTTTTAACTTTTAAAAAAAAAAAACATTCGATAGTGACGGATGTGGGTACAAAAAACAAATTTTTTTTTTTTTTGCCCAAAACTTTTTCGTCGTTCGGCATCTGCTCCCACGATGTTTTATTTTGAAACAAGAAACATAATTTTTTTCAATTAAAATTTTATTTTTTAATTGGCGAGGTTTTTTGATTATTGTAGTGATCGTTGTTTTATTGAAATTATTGCGGAATGTATTGACGATATTGTATAAGTCTAAAACCACGTCAAAAATTTCAAATTTCGGTTTAATTTAAACAAAACGCCACAAAAACCACGTTTTTAGTCATTCGTAAAAAAAAAATAAAAAAAAATTTTTTTTAAAGTTTATATACGATTTCGACTCCTGGCAATTTTTTTTTTTTTTAACCAAAACAAACAAAGTGTCACCAGAAAAACAAAAAAATAATTTGAAAATTTAAATTTATTTTATTAGATTTTTGTTTTTGTCCAAAATAAAATTACACAACTGGAAAATTTCCAAACCCTTTAAAAAAAAAAAAAGAAAAAGGTTTCTTACGAAAGAAAAATGAAAAACAACAACAACAACAACAACAATAATAATAATAATAATAATAATAATAATAATAATAATAATAATAATAATATTAAAGAAAAGACACAAAAAAAAGAAAAGAAAAGGAAAGAAAGAAACAAACAAACAAACGAACGAACGAGTAAACAAACGTACAAACACAATTAACGGAAAAGCAAAAAAAAAAACGAAAAAAAAATGATTTTCTCTCGAAAAAAATTTTTTTTTGTTATAACGGAAATTTTTGCCGCCGCTCCCCAATTTAATTGTTACCAACATTTAAAAAGTAAAAAAATTATTATCATTATTATGATATTACGTCACAAACTCCGCGAAACTTTTTTTTTTAAAACAAATTTTTCCGCGAAAAAAGGAAAACAACATCGGACCCCTAATTATTAATTTCTTTTCAAATTTGATGATTCGCATTTTTATTTTTCCAATTCGTTTTCCTGGTATCCCCTTCCATTTCCTTCCTCCCCCTCCCCAAAATACTTCCCCCATTCCTTTTTTCTTTTTAAACATTCGAAAGGGAGAAATTTTTTACTTTTATATATATATATATTTAAGAAGTTACGTAGTAATAATAATTTAAAAGAAATAAAAATATGTTTTGTAAAAAGAATCAGAAACCGTTTTCTTTTTTTTTTTACTTAAAACCATCTGCTCCCCACTTAAAATTTATACTTTTTTAAAAAAAAAGAAAATCCCCGATGGGAGTTCAAATACCAACCTAACAAAAAAAAAAAAAAAAATTCGTCGAATCAATATAGGAGGAGCTTAAAAACTTTACAACAACAACAACAATTATTTCACCTCCATCTTTTTTTTTTTTCTTTCTTAAAAATTCGGCAACAATCATCCCCTCTCTCTCCCCCCCATCCCCACCACTCCCCTCCCCTCTTTCTACCTTTAACAATAATAATAATAATTAAATCCGTCAAACAAATTCGAATAAACTATTAAGGAAAAAAATAAAAAAATAAAAATTTTCAAACGCGCACGTGATATCTTAGTGCAAACAAAAGTATTTTAAAAATATTAACGTTTTTGAAAAAGGAAAAGCAGAAGAAATAAAGAGAGAAAGAAAGAGAGTGATGGAGAGAGAGAGAGAGAGAGAGAGAGAGAGAGAGAGAGAGAGAAAGAGAGAAAAGAAATTAAAACGAAAAGGGAGTGGAAAAATTAAAAACACGAGAAACTCATGACGAGAACGACGACGACGACGGTGACGGGTTTATTATTATGCATATGGAATATTACATTTTGTTTACTTTTTTTTTTTTATTTACTATCATCATCATTATCATCATCATCATCATCATCATCATCATCATCATCTTGTCAAGATTGAGTTAATCACTCTACCGTTTTGTTAATTGGTGAATCCATTTTTTTTTTTTTTTTTAGTTTTAGTTTTAAATTACATATTGAAAGATATTTTCGAACGAAAAATATATATAAATTTAGCAGAAGAAAAATCAAAACGCGAGCGTTTTCATTTATTCACCCAACATTCATCCAACAAATTTTAAAAATGGCGGCGGATTAACGAAACCAAACAAAAAAAAAAAAAATACGTCTAAAATCATCATTATCGTTAAATATATAAAAAAAAAGAAAATTACCTTGCGTGAGAAAATCTCGTGGAAAACCGCGTTAAATTTTCTTTTTTCATTCTGTCTTCTTTCCGTAAAATTTTTACATTCGGACAAATGATGACAACTTGATGACGACACAAACTTTTTTTTCTTCCTACCTGTTCTTCATCTCTTCGTAAAAGATGATTTTTCTGCTGCTGATGCTGGAAAGGATCATTAAAATATATTAAAATTAATATAAGTAAACGTTTATATATTTTTCAGTTAAACAAAAAAAAATGAAATTCATTCGTTACATAATTAATTAATTTATTATTATTATTATTATGATTATTACGTCACTTTTAACATTATCCAAACACGATTTATTATTATTATTATTATTATATTACGTACATAAATGATGATGATTATAAGACTAGCTTCGATTATTATTTTTTTCTTCTAAATCTATTTCGTATTAAAATTTTATTTATAACAAAAAAAAAAAAAAACGATTTCATTTCATTTTTGTGTAAAAACCGGAAACAGTTAGTCGGGAGCTTTTTCGAAAACGACAGCAACGAATTATTAAAAAAAAATTAAAATAAAAAAATTTTCTTGCTTTTCTCCAGTAAAAATGGGGCAGATTTAAAAATCTTAATCTAAGAAATAAGAAAAAGAATTTAAAAATCTAAAATTTAAGATTTTTTTTTTAAACAAATCGAGTTTAAGCAACTCTTAGAAAATAAAAAAAGAGAGAAATAGAGAAAGAAAGAGAGAGAAAGAGAGAAAGAAAGAGAAAGAGAGAGAGAGAGACAGCAGCACAATAAATATGAAATTTCGTACCGTTTAAATTGTTTGATTAAATGAAAACAAATATCAATTTTTCTTTTTTACGTCATTTCCGTTTTATTTAATTCAAAAAAAAAAAAAAAAGTTAATAAAAATAATAAAATAAATTTCATCATTAATCATTCATTAAAAAAAAAAAAAAATAATAATAATAATAAGGATAATAACAACAATAACAATAAAAATCTAATATAATATTGAATTCGTCCGACGCGAATTTTTCTTTTTTTCTCATTTTTCGTCGGAAAAAAAAAAACTTCCAAAAATTTTCTTTTTTTTTTTTTCGCGAGTACCTCGAGTACCTCTCTGTTGTTTTCACGTTAATATA